AAAAAAAAAAAAAAAAAAAAAAAAAAAAAAAAAAAAAAAAAAGTTTCAGTGGCTTTTTATTGTCCTTCAAATCAAATCCAGATTTCTCAGATATGGCCTTCCAGGTGACATGAGGTGAGCAGACATTACCTCCTTTGCCTCCTGCCCCTGTCTCTGCTTTATCTTGCAGCACTTACTGTTCACCCTGCTCCACTTGCCTGAGAACCTTTGAACACAGTGTTCAGCACGCAGAATTCTTCTCCCTCGACTTTGGCCCCTACCATTCTGGTCTTGGGGGATGTCTACTCTCATTCCCACCACAGCCTTTCCATCCCACCCGGATTCGTCCTCCAAGGCATCCTGCTCCATTTTATGGAATTTCATAGAACTGATCTCCACCTAGAATCATCTTACTCATAATTTGTATTTTTTTTTATTGTCAGTCTTTCCCAAACAGACCACAAAGTTTATGAGGCCAGTGAAGCAATCTGCACTTTTACTGCAGGATCCCCTCAGAACCTAACTGAAACCAGTAGTCTCCTAATAAATAGTCATCTCATGGATTTATGGATGGAATAAACTGATCTGGGGTCCAGTTTCAGGAACTGTAAAATGGAGATAACACCTACCCCACAGAGCTTCTAAAAGAATTAAATGGAATAACAAAATTGATCATACATTTGAGAGTCCGTTCCCCAATGCCTTAGTGATAAAGGGTATTCACTAACCATAACTACTAATGTTATGTATTTATTAATGAGCAGTAAACAAAGACTTTTTCCAATTTGATCTCCAATTTGCCCATATTTCAGCCATTGCCTTTATATATAGTCAGCAGATTTAAAGACGAATGATAATAAAAATATAAAGGTGATAAATAACACAGCCCTAGTTATATTGCTTGGGGTGAGACTGGCAGGTTTTAGCAATTTAGCATTATTCACTCTGGCCTAATCTTCTGAACCATGCTATCTTTACGACATGTCAATAACTGTGACTCACTCCAGGAAGGGAGTTACAAAACACTGTAAGAGTGATTTCAGGTTTCATGGAAACTTTTTCTGTCACCAAGTAAAATGAGTACCTTCTTAGATATATAACTGCTACCTTCCTATGGTGATTCTGCTCCATTCTGGTATGTGAATATTTCCCTCTTCCTTGATTTTTACACAATCATACTTGTTTTTTTTCTATTTGTGTAGTTTTGTTGTGTCAGTGACTGCACTGGTCGGAGGGTGTATACACACTGGGTTAAACTCTTAGTTTGGTTAATTTTTTCAGTGTGAAATAAATAGAAATTTTAAGACTATTCTCATCTACAAAAATGTATTACTCTTTAGAAAGAAAAGCTCAAAGTGACTCAAATCCAAATAAATCTTTATGTACTAATGAGGAAATCCAAGTTACTAATTATTAATTAAGGTTTTTTAATATAAATATGCCAAGTTTAAAAATGCATGTATTAGGAAGAAGACTACATCTTATTTTCTTATTTCTTGTAGATTTCAGATAGATAGGGAATCTGTGGAAATTTTGCCACATCTATATTTTAAGATAATAATTGCCAGGATAAAACTAACAGAATGAAAGAAAAATCTTACGTATTAATTATATAAAGGATTCACCAAGACATCAGCACAACTGACTTGTTTCTGTCAAGGAGTTACCAGACATTTCTGAAGAATCTAATTCAGTACTTTCAGGAAACTCACAGACACCACAACACCACACCTCCTTCCTCCAACTTATCCAACATTTATTCCTCTAACAGCCAGAAAGCCTCAAGAGTGCAGTTATTTGCTGTTTATTTTTCTTCCTCATGTAACTCCAAGACTGGTAAAGACTGTCTTAACCAATCAATAATTTTCCTAGGGCCTGACAGTAGACACAAGACAATACTGATTTGACAGAAAAAGTAGGTGATAAGATGATAAAAACCCTATATTTGATTTACAAAATAGTCCATCCATTGTCTAATATACTGAATTACAAATATAAATCCAAGAGCACAAGAACTTAGCAAATATTAAAAGCACTTTCTAAGGGAGTCATGATTTCTTTTAAGTCATACCTGGTCATCCAAGGGCAGTTCACAGAAGGCAGGGATGTACTTGGCCCATTCCACCAGGACTAAGAGCTGCTGCTTCATAGATTCACAAACGTCACTGATGCTTGCAATTTTCTTAACGTTTATGTCAGTATTTGCACTGGGGCTAGGGACTGAGATCTAAAGTTAAAGGAACATATTAATTTATAATGAAACTACAAGGATAACCAACAATCCTCCTTCTTTCTGTGACTACATTTAAAAAGTAAAGAGCATGGAAGCAAAAATTATCATTGTCATAGTACTTTTATGTATATATTAAACATTTTTTAATTTGAGAAACAAAATACTTATTGGCTTAAAGCTAAACTGAAAACATGAATGTATCAATGCACACTCTGAGAGCCCAGTTCTATTTTAAATAGCAAATCTGTAAACCAGGTTAGGCTTTTGGAGGAATTTTGTAGTTCAAACTGGCTACATAAAGAAATTGATAGTAACCACAAGAATAAATTCTGTGATTATTCTTAGTTAAAACTCATGTTTTTTATTAAGTAAGACCTTCTTTAGTTTGTTGATTTTTATGAAAACCTAGCTAGTGGATAAAATTTATAAAAGGTGGGAAATATTTAGGGAACAAACTAGAAATATTTATGATGTTACATTAAACACAAGGCCATAAAATTAAAATTAAGGAACAAACTTTTGACTAGGCAATGATGAAATGCTTAACATTCTTAAATCGCACTTCACTTTTAAATGTATGAAAATATAAATTATACTTTAAAATTATTTCTCCTTAAAATAGCAAGTACTGCTGCATTATAGTTTTGTGAAATTAATTTTAACCATAGTTTTGCACATGTACGTGTGTGTATGCATGTATGTATCTGTCATGTGAACCCAGATATTCCCTCACAGCTCCCCTTTAAGTCATTCTCTAAATACTTTATTGGATCATCAAGTAATCTTCAAGTAGTAGTGATGATAATAGGATGTTAACCTCATCATATTACTCCTGTGTTATCAAGAATGAAAGTAGACTCACTGGCTCCTTATAGGACCTGATTAACTACATAGCTATTTCATAATTTGCTTTGTCATTGACAAGTACCTTGAATATTTCCAATAAAGGCAATGTTAAAATATACTTTCTTCAAAAGATTATATATCGGACTCTTAAATGATTGGTTTTATTTGTAAAATGATTTACCATTTTAACTTTATACCTGATATTCTTATTCTAAAATTGATGATGAAATTGACTTTCTTCCCAATTTTGTGAATTCTGCCTTTAATTCTAATAAAACACCTGTTAATAAAACACCTGTTCCCTAAGGAGTTTGTGAATTGACTTCTTGAGTTCAGACATAAATTTTTAAGGAAAGACACTCTGATGGCAAAACCCCTCAAAATTGCAGCTGTTGATTTCGTAGATTCAACCAATAAAACATTGTCACAGTATGTATTTTTTTTACTCAGCCTAATAATAAACACCCAAACAATTTAAAGATAGGGTCTTATACACAAAATAAACCTTAAAACTTAGTCAACAGTTATCCTACTGCTTTCAAAGTGATGCTTCTGAATTTGTCTAGATTATCTTTAGCAGTGAGCACAAAACACTGAATTTATTTCCAGTACTTTGCATCAGCAGACACTGGATTCTATTGGACAGAGCCAATGCTGTGGTGTGGTGGGTACCTGGCGAGACCGAACTTCAGCTTGTGCCAGAGTGTTTATGGAGGGAATGTTGCTGCCATCAAAAGTGCTTCTTCTGGTACTTATTCTGTCACGTTCATTTTGAACAGCTAAGGAAGAAAACCACAGTTATTATTAGTTAGATCTCTACAAAATGTAGACAGTAAGTCTACTTTTTTTTTAAAAATTCTTGGATCACATTCAAAGAAAGGAATAGCCAAGCTTGTAACTCAAGCTCAAAAAATACAGTTGCTTGGAATCTGTGATGGGTTGTATGTTGGGAACTTTTGGTTCACCAGTTTTGACATGCTGTGCTTTTCATAACACAGTTTTCTAGTCTCTCACAGATAATAAAACTATAAGTCAAATAGAGGAGGAATATCATTTGCCAGATTGGCCAGGACAAAGATAAAAATGTAGCCACTGTCAGGACAAGTAGATTCTGGAATTACTATTTTCTATTAAGCATAAAATACTACCAAAATGGAAAACAAATTAATTTTCGTTAAGGTGACCTTAAGCAAATCATAACCTTTTCTAAAACAATATTTATAGATGTAAGCTTCAGTATTATTGTACAATTTGAGGCATCTCCCTAGAAGATGGACACCTGAATTCCTGCTTCTCAAAGAGATGAAGTCAACCCCCCTAGAAGATGGACACCTGAATTCCTGCTTCTCAAAAAGATGAAGTCAACCCTTACATTATATAAAATGTCTCCAAGAGAGGAAGTCCTGGTTCCTTGATTCAGAAAGGAAAGAATAAATAGTGGACATGTGCAAAACCATTATTGAAAACCAAATTTTAAGCATAAGAATAAAATGGAAGTGTTACCACATAAATTTGCAAAAATACTCATGTAAAAAGTGTCAGACGTTAAAGTTTCAAAAATAAGGACATAAAATGATCCTCCATTAATCAAAGACAAAAAAGAAAGAAACAAGACCTATAGATCCTCAGTTATTTAGGTTAATGCTATAATCAGTTCTATTATAAATATGATGATACCAAACCAATAAAATTTTTTCCAGCAAAGAAATCCACCAATTTCTACATCAATGTCACAGGGACCTGTAAGTAGCAACTACTAACTCAGTTAAAAACAGTGGGCTTTCTTCTAAAGATATCTTTCAGATGAATCAAATATTTAATATCTTACATTAAAAATCATATTTACTGATAGCTTATTTTTAGTTATTTTGCATTTATGTAGAACAACATGCAGAGATGAAAAGCTAAGACATTCCTCTGCTTTTCTAATTTCCATTCATATAATCAAACTTTATAGAAATGCTGAAATATATGATAAGCATTTTCAATATTTTCATTACTCTCAAGTTTTATATAAATCCATATGTCTGTTTCTACTTAATTAATATTGATATTAAGCTCTATTATTTACTGAAGGGTAAGATGCATCAATTTTGAAACTCAAAAGTTACTTTCCAATCTATTCTATAAAATTAAACCATCATTTTATGAACAGTAGAAGATGTAATTTCACTACTTTCTAAGGTAATTTTATTTCATAAATTGTAAGACTCAAAAGGGAAATGCAGGCTTGGTGTTGTTTGCAATTTTATAAGGTAAAGATTGGTCTTCAGGTAATAAGGCAAAAGGATATTGATAAATTATGCAATTATTCCTAACAACTACGGAATGGAGCTTTTAGGGCATTAGCTATGTCATTTGTGAAAGGAGAAATTGCCTCTTTAATTTAGTGAATTTTACCTTTGTGATATTCTTAAGATTAGCAACTCAATAAAAGCTAACAAAATTTCCACAATTTTAAATTATTGAATTAATTGAAAAATAGCTACATCTCAGATGGATTTCATATATTTTATACTTCTGCAGCATCATGATTTGATTTAATTTTATTTATTTAATTTTGCAATATACTTATGGAAAACAGGTCTTTGCATGTGACTGACACAGGCACACAACCAACAACAAGCATGCCATCTTACAGCTGCTACATTTGCCAGATGTTGAAGATATGTAACACTCTTATCTCTAAACATATCAGAAGGAGAAAGGATAGAATGAGATGAGCTAACATGATGAAAAAAATTCAACATACATTATACCATATCTACACTGCTTCTGTTATTCAGTAGACCATAAGTTTCTCAAGATGGAGGATTGTCTTGTCTATTAAGTTCACAATTCAAATCTCATACCTGAACAGTGTTTGGGAAACAGCATTGTCTAACAAATATTTTTAAATAGAGAAATGCATAAAAAGATGATATGTCATTGGTATTCATAAGATAATATACTTGGCTGTTATTAAGAACAAAAATTGTATTCTTTACAATACATTCATACCTTTAATCTGCAGATTTTTTTCTATTTTCTATTTAAATTAGAAATAAGCTTGTTTTACATGTCAATCCCAGTTCCCTCTCCCTCCCCTCCTCCCCTGCCCCCACTAACCCCCTTGTCCCATCCCCTTTCTTTAAGATCTATAGATTTTGACTATGTAGAGAGTGGTGGCGAATCAGAGCAGGTAAACACTAGTTCTGTACATACTGACTGCACATCCTTGGGCTAAATTCTTTAATTCTAGGAACTCTTTGACAGATTCCCCATTAATATATTGAGGGAAACCAGAGCTTATTAAGTAGGTTATGTGATTAATGGGAATTCTTGTGCATTGTTATCACTTTTCATCAATAATGGTAATCATCATCATGATCATCATTATGGCTATTACCTTCTTTTTTCATTCCTGCTCTAAAACACTTTCTTAATCGACAGTATCTACATTGATTCCTTTTGTCCTTGTCAACAACACATTGGCGACTGAACCTGTAACAGGAAGCATACATTAGTTCACAAAACACCATTTATCAAACACACACACAAGCAAACAATTAGACTGTAACCAATTAAAGTCAAATCAGACTCAATATAAAGCATGAATAAATCTAATTCCCTGAGAAACTGAACATCTCATGGTGGGCACATACATTGCAATATATAGCTCACCTCTCAGCCAATCTTCATACTAACATAAAACTGAATGACTGCATCATTTGGGACTAGTGTACATGATATGAGTCATGGAAGTCAAACGTAGCTTTAAAATCTTTGTCATATAAATTTTGGTGTTTATTACAAAATGATTTCAGCATGGTGGACAATGGATCATGATTCATAGCTTTTACAGTTAGGTGATTTTTTTGTTTAAATTTTTTTATTCTATTAATTTTAATTGCCTTCCAGTTGGATTGAGATTTACTTCAAATATCAAATTATAGACTATTGAGAACAGCACTGAGAAAGTTACTTCTTCTTAGCAATCTATCATTTTATTCTCTTTAAACAGCCCAGAACGGGTGGGGGGAATGCATATGTTGCTAAAGATATAAAACTATATTGAAACCCTTATATGTTATGGGATAGACTAGTAAATGCTACTACTGTGTTGGAAGAATGTTTAGTGGTTTTTCAAAGAGTTGAACACAGAGCTACACCCAGGGCACAGCACTTTCAAGCTGTGTATATACCCAAGAAAAATGAAAACCTATGTCTAGAGTAGCATTTTCTTAGGGAGCAAAATGTTGCAGTGATGAGCAGATAAAAATCCCAGACAAAGGTACACTACTATTTGTTGATAAGTACAAATGAAGCACCAACAGCCATGCTACACTGTTGATGAACCTTGAAAACACTTCCAAATAAAGGGGATACCAAAGGCCCATTATGCATAGTTCAATAATGCAGTATCCAGCGAGGCAAATATACAGAAACAGAAGGCAGATTAACAATTCCCTCATGCTACCATAGAGATGGGTAAACTGGAGGACACCCTTGTAGGGACTTCTTTACAGAGGAATTAAATGCTGTTCTGAGTGATAGTGATAGTCACCCAGTTCTGTATATGCTAAAATCCAAATGCCTAGCTACACTGGATGCTATTGTGTCCTTTCTTTCAGGTGATTATTAAGTGATGAGTATAAGAGAATATGTTTTGTGAACTGTTAAAATTTATGGACAGCGACTTAACATTGAATAAGAACAAAGCTACAAGTGAGTTGTGCTCTCAGAGTAAGAAAAGGCAAAACACATTTTTTTTTGTTTAATATGGGATGAAAAGACTAAGAGGAGGAAATCAGGTGACCAAAAATCACAAGGAGTATACATCTAGTTAACATTAAATAAACAGGAAAAATAGAAGAAACATGCATCACCAAGCTCCTAACATGTTCAAGATTTTGGTATAGGTACAGAATAGATGAATGTTTGCTAATTTTCCATTCAAAGAAACTGCAAACTAACAAGTACAGAGAAACATTAACAAATGTTATAGAGACCATCCTGTGAATAGAATTGAAGTAGAAGATGTATGTCCTTTAGAAGGAAAAGGCCAGCTATGGCATCATAGGACTGCTAAAGTCGAATTAGAATTTATCAGTCTAAGATATGGGATACATTTGAGGCAAGCAAAACTTACTGAAAAGACATTATGGTTTTTCAATTTGTATCCATATAATAATGATTTAAAAAATAGATTCAGAGCTTGCTTGGTCACAAAAACTACAAAGAAGCTTAGATGGCTTACAGTATACATGGTGAGAAGGCACAAAAGTTCCACCTGGCCCTGCTCCTAGGGCACTAGCAAAGCCCAAAAATTCTTCTGGGCTGGGCGGTGGTGCGCATGCCTTTAATCCCAGCACTTGGGAGGCAGAGGCAGGCAGATCTCTGTGAGTTTGAGACCAGCCTTGTCTACAAGAGTTAGTTGCAGGACAGCCTCCAAAGCCACAGAGAAACCCTGTCTCAAAAAAAAAAAAATTCTTCTGGGAGTTATTCTTCCTACTCATCCCATAAAGGAAATGTCCAAGTCCTCAGATTCTGCTGTCAGAACCATTTTTTTTTCATGTAGTTTTTTCATGTGTTTTACTTTTAATAGTGCACATGACTCCAAACAATGGAACCTCCATGTTGCTTTATTCCTTTAGGTATTAACATGAAGACCTTTATGTGTGTCCGGTAACCATAGTGAAAACGTGTTTGGTGGAGGAGATGATTCATTTTTAGCTCTGGAATGTGCAGGGGTACATATGCAATACCATCTAATATGCACTTCTCTTGGTCAGATTTCTAAAGGGGATGACTGACATTTTTATAAAGCTACATCAAACCCCTGAACATATTACAGGACAACACCAGGTAGATATTAGTGGAGTTTTTTTATTAACTTTTATTACACCTTGAAATATCAAATGTTTCTGGATTGGGAATTCTCAAATGTCCAGCTTATTTTTATATCAGCATTGGTGGACTGGCTATGTAGACTACTCGGTTAGTGTGTGGAAGACCATGAATTAAATTCCCATTCTAACCAAATAGTAACAATGACAATAAGTAATAATGACTATTACCAATAGAAGAAAACCAGATTTTTTCTTCTTGTAAAATCAGTGAATTGTGTAAAAAGCTCAAGTTCAACCTAAACAATCTATATCCAAGAATTATCATAGGAATCAATCAGGATAAATACCTAAACTTAAACTCAGTGATTATATTGACTAGGTAATATCAAAAAGACTAGTAGGAATATATGGACATATGAAGTAATTAAATAAGATTTAGGCAAAAAACTATTATGTAAAATTTAACATGAGAATTAATTTGAAATGAAAATAAAATTTCACCCTTTAAGTCAGTAAGTTATAAAATTATCTGTAGTTTTATAGTTTTTCCTATTAAAGATCTAGGATGTATTGACCCTGAAAGGAAAATTTTTAAAAAATCAATCTACACACCTTCAGAAACTACTTAAATAGATCTAAAAAAATGTTTAGTAGCATATGAACATGTGATAAAACAATAAAGAGACACAAGGAAAAGATTAACACTAAATTCTAGATGGTAGTTCCCCCTGGAACACAGAGGAGAATTACAAAGTGGCCAGGGAGGCGTCCACTGGAGGGTTCAACTATATTGCTCTAAACTGGGTGGTAGGTATGTGAATTTCTTTATACACATTTACAAGTCTAAGATTGTTCATAGGATGGAACTACCAGTGTGAATGTGAACTGCACATACAATCATACACTTTGTTTGAAGCTTGGCAATTTTGTTCAGAGTTACAGAGACATGGAAGCTCCCAATTTACATTCCTTACATCCCAGTGCTATCTTGAGACACTCATAAGAAAAACTTTGGTAAAATGAGCACTCCAATACCTGCAGGAATAAACGTGACTTTTCCGAATGCTGCGCCTGAAAAACCCCTTGCAGCCATCACAGCTGGATGCCCCATAATGCTTTCCTGTTGCTCTATCCCCACAGATGGCACATAGACAGTTGACACCACTGTCTGTGGTATTCATACTTGTAGTCTCTGGGGCAGAACTGTCTGTTGAAAAAAGGTGAGAAAAGTTAGTGCAGCTGATTACTTAGCAACTATGCTGCCTACTCCCCCTGTCTCTGCGTTGTGGGGGATTCCTTACTGGTGCTTCCCTTTCAAGCACTGAAAGCATCCTCCTCAGGATTCTGATTGTTTAATTTGGGGTTATGGTTGCACTCAATCCCCTAACTGCCACTTTTCTCAAGGGAAACTCAGGCAATCTCATGACATCAGATGTCAACTGTATGATAGAAAAATCCTCAGATTTTACTTATGCCATAACAACAACATAGAATACAGTTTTAAAGACTTAAGAACCTATGTAACTATTTCACTTTGAAACCTAGTAACCATAATAGTTGAAAGAACTTGGATTCCCAATCGCCCCAGTGGGTCTTCTGCTTAATTCAGTTCTCCTTATAAAAGCCCATGGTTCCACAGCAGAGATAAAGATTTAGGCATCTTTTGTGAATTCTTTCTATCACCACTTATTTATTGTGATCCCATATTTAAGATAAATATTCATCCCACTTTTCACCTTCAACATAGTCTTCTTTTTCCAATACCATCATCCTTCCCAAGGGTTATTACAATAGATTTCTAAATAATTGTTTTACTGTCATCTTTATCCATTTTCTCTTTATTTTCGAACAATCACTTCATGTCACCTTTGTCCATCCAATACCACTATGACTCCTCATTAGAAAGCATAAAGCCCAATATGTTACCGCATGACCTAAAATGACCTGCACACTGAAGTCCCCTCCTCTGGCCTGTTTGACTTCTCACCATCCACTATCTTTTCACATTCCATCCTGTTCACTGGTCTACACCTCTGATGCTGCTTTGTGTACTTTGAAACCTGATTTCATCAACTGTACTTTTCATAGTTGCCTGGACTTTTCCAGGCTTGGATTTAAGCAAACTCTAGGGTTTCTGACCAGTTCTCACATTTAGCATGAATCTTCTTTAATAATTCCCAGTCATCTCTCATCTGTCCTTCAAGCAAAACTTAGAGTTCCCCAAAATATACTATTTTAATTTATATTATCATCACCTGGAATTGCACTACAGATGGATTGATTCATGAATCTATCATTACACAGAATATCAACATCATGATGTCAGAACTCATCTGTGTTACTCATCCTTCAGTTTCCCACCTGTTAGAACTGTACCCAGCTACAGTGGAACATCAGTTAAACATACAGTTTTTACAGAAAAGACTATGTGTGTGAGAGTGTGTATGTGTGCAAATATTTTACATATAAATATCATTTTACTGAATTGATATTGTTGAAAATAATTTATGAATTCCAGCTAAATCAAAGACATCAAATGTATAAGGTATTATACTAAAACTTGAACTTGGTTGACTGGGAATATAGCTCAATGACAAAGCAATTGCCTATTAAGTACAAGGCCATTGATTCAACCATAAAATATTAATTAAATATATACTATATACAAAATATAATTATAGTAACAAACTTATTGTATCGCTAATACAAATGTGTGAATTTAAATGTTGGCATGTACTAATTACATTATATGATATTATACAGATTTTACTTATGAATACACATTTTTTGAACAGATAAATGCTGCTATGATTTGTAATTTCATAAAGTTAAAAAAGCTTTAATAAAATATATTGAAAATTAATGATGTGACATAAAATGTAGATTACAAATGCTAGGAAACTTTTCCAACATTAACAATGTTCCAGCAATGTTGAAGTTAGAAGTGCCTGAAATCACAGACAGACATTACATAGAGAATGACAGACTTTGGAATATTCATCGGTAAATGGAATGTCTCCATCAAATTCCTCCTCTCAGAGCTCAGGGAACCTCTCAGAAGTGGAGGTGGAGTGTAAGATGGGATGGGAGACACCAGGAGAACAAGCCCCTCTGAATCAACTGAGAAAGGCTCACATGAACTCACAGAGACTGAGGAAGCATGCAGAGGCCCGTCACAGGTCTACACCCAGTCTTCTACACATTTATCATGGTTTCCAGTTTAGTTGTTTTGTGGAATCCCTGAGTGTATCTCTGATTCTTGTGCCTTCCCTTAGGCTCTGTTCCTTCTGCTACTTTGCCTTATCCAACTTCAATCTGATCATTTTGTTTTATCTTATTATGTTATTTTGTTATATTTAAAAATGAATGAATGAAAACCTATCCTCTAGTGTAAAGGTTAACAACTGAACTGTCATTTATGCCTGCTTGGGAGAGGGAAAAATCAGTTTTCTCCAATGGAGTCGGGATATGTCAA